CTGGACACCCTGTAGGTAACAGACTGCACCAGTTCTGGGCACTGGTCACCCCTCACTGGGACTCGTTCCTGCCGTCTTCTCGTTTGCTTTGTTCAGTGGTTGACTGGCTGTGTCATCTCAGCGGCCCCCCTACAGCCCCTGACTGAACCCCTGATGCTGTGTCTCAGGGGTGCAGCCTTGGGAAGAACCCCACGTCACACCCCCAGGACCATGGTTTTGTCAAAAGCTCTGACTGTGCGGTCCCTGCCCACACCCGGCTCTCACACTCCACTCATTGCTGGCCAACTGCTCCGCTATTTTTCAACAGTGCCCTGGGCACAAACTGCTTCTCAGACCAGTCCTGTCCAATGTGGCTTCTTTGAAGGAACAGATCCTGAGACCAGCGTCCGAGTGGCTCCCTGACCCAGACAGCCGACAGTTTAGCTTGTTCACTGATAAATCTATCAGCCTCCTCCCACCGGCCTTTCTCCACAACGTCCAGCTGCTGAGAGCTCCCCTAGGCTCGGACTTCTCCCTGCTCTGCTGTGAATGAAGTCAGCTCCTTAGCAGAGGGTCTAGGAGCTCCCTGTCCCACAGCCCGCCTTCCCCTGAGAAAAACCTCGGAGCCCAGCTCTGGTGCTGGGAGTGGGCGACAGTTCTGCTCCAGGAGCTGATGGGGGCGGGGGGGCAATCCGATCCCAGGTCTGCTGGGCTGGCCTCTCAGTGTGGACCCCCATCCATGAGCTGAGGCCCACCCTCATTCGCCTGCCCCCTCATCCCCAGAAGGGGCTGCGATCTGGGAATGTGACTGCCTGGAGCGTGCGCTCCTGTCCTCTACAATCACGCTGTCCAGACCCCCGTGCAGCTGGCAGTGCCTGTGCACCTGGGACCTGGCCCAGGGGACGGGAGCAGCAGGGCCATGTGCTCAAAGGAAGCGGTGTGCCTCCCGCTCCCTGCAACCCCTGTGGCCAGGTGGACAGAGGGGCTGACCATAGTGGGAGAGGTTCTCACAAGGGCAGCCTCGTCTGCCCACCTCCACAGGAGGGCAGCCTCGCCTGCCTCCCAACAGCTAACCTTGTCACACTGGAGTGACAGAAATTGAGTCCAAAAGTGGCATAAAAGCCCACGGTGCACAGATGTTACCCCAGACATGTGACAGAAACGGGCAGAACAGCACAGCACAGGGGCAACCTGGCCCAAAGAATCGGCACAAAACTTAAACCAGCCCATGCATCATACGTGCGTTTAAAGCAGGAAACACACAGCCCACAGTGAGCCATGCCAGCCAGGACTGTCACCTCAATGCCTGGAAAAATGTAAAAATACCTGAGAAACTGGTGGCAAACCAAGCTGTCACCTCCCCTCGGACCTCACCGGGGACAGGGGCTCTCGGTGGAATAAACAAAGGAACGAAAGCCCTGGGCCGATTCACGCGCCACGACGTGACTTCAAGAAGAGGGTGGAGTTCAGGGCAGAGCAGCGAAGAGCGCAGGGAAGCACAGCCACCTCACGCACACGCAGGCGGAGCTGCGGCCCACAGGGGCTCGGCCCCATGGCTCCGGGGGGACGGAGGGCCGAGAGCCAGCTGCCAGATCCAGAACAGCCACGTCTCCCTGCAACTGGCCTGTACAAATCCAACTGGCCTCCCCTGCACGTATCACTGAGACGTAAGTGAAAGTTCAAACACTGCTCGGCATCTCAGTAGCCTGTTTTACCGTTTTTATTCTACGACCCCAGACAAATTTTCGAACCTCTGGTCAAGGTTCATTAACACAAAAGCCGTAAATGCGAAATCCTGGGGAACGAGGGACAGTGGACTCTATACTGGACTTCAAGCCAAGATGCTAAAACGCCGGCAGTGCCCTGTGGTCCCGCACCGGGGGGACGGCACCGGGCTGCACGCTGCTGACGGCTATGTTGGAACAATCCCGCCACCTCAGCTCAGGGTGCAGCCCCTGGGCCTGGGGGCCCGAGCCCGCGGGGGAGACCTGCTGACGCCGCAGAGGAGTGCTGAGACTCGTACTGCGGAGTGTGATCGCGGCTGACGTGGGGACATGTGAGCACGGAGTGGGGACGGACACGGCTGCGAAGCCACAGGCGGGGCTACGCTGACTCTCATTTATAACTGAGTCCCGCCCTCAGTGACCTGCCTTCGGGACCAGCCTAACCCAGGGCTGGCCCCAGACGCGCAGACTGAGCCCTGGCAGGGACGGTAGTGGGCCTCGGGAAGTGCTGGCCTCGTCGGGTGGCAGCAGGCACTGCCATCAGTGGGCAAAGCCTTGGAGGGACGGGCTGCCCTGAGCAGTGGGCCACCGACACTGTGGCCCGGCCTCCCGGGAGAGCTCTGTGAGTGTGGCTGCCTCAGTCCTTACCCGCCGTGGACGAGCCGGGCAAAGGGG